CAGGAAAGGAATATTGGTCCTTATGCTGCCTGTACCTTCACAATTAAAGGCTCGAATCCGTGTCTACAGGTTTCCTGAGTACGGAAGATGCAGAGTGTCCGGGTAATAACGGAATGAAAGACCAGGTGGCAGCACTGCGCTGGGTACGTGACAACATCGCAGAGTTCGGTGGAAACCCGAACAGCGTGACGATATTCGGTGAAAGTGCTGGAGGTAGCAGTACACACCTCCACATGCTCTCTCCTGCCAGCAAAGGTGAGATCTGTCAAGTTCTTACGTCGAACTTGGAAACGAAAATCATTTTAGCCCTCCTGTGTCCATACATTTGAAGCTAACTAGAAACCTGCCCGGCATTTTCTGGGCTTAACGCACAAGTATTCTTATATCCTTTGACCTACTGCCTCAATTCTGGCCTTGGCATACCGTGAAACTTTCCGTTTCACTTGAGTTTACTAGATCTCAGACAGTTGGTAGAACTCCTTGAACGGGTTATCAGCTCTTTGCAAGGCGACCTGTACATAAACACAAAAATAAAACTCAAACACATACACAAACACCACACATCCATGCCCTGAGTGGGGATTCGAACCCACGATCCCGGCTTCCGAGCGAAGACAGTGCATGCCTTAGACCGCTCGGCTACCGTGACCGGCCAACGCACACTTATAAGGAGCGAAAATTACCCGTAAACCCAGGAGCGACAGTTTTCCCACCATAACTTTGTAAGGCAGAAGGTAGTTTGGGTGTTGATCCGTATCCTAGCAACTATCCCATTTTTCTCACAATCACAGCGCCTTTCGTACACATACAGGAATGAGGATATATTGTGGCTTGGGGTTGACCCCGTCTCGGAACGCTGCAGCAAGTTCCCCGTGTTGCTGAGACGTGGTGTGAGTGCTGGAACATGAAAATTCAATAAAGTTAAAACTCAGGCAATCTACTTTTCTGATAGACTTCGGGTCCCTGAGACTCATCTTACATTGAATGGGCAGAATATCCCCTTTGTAATCACGCAAAATATCACGGTGTAATCTTCCATAAGAGGATTATGTGGAGACTGCACATAGAAATGATCAAAGCCAAGGCCTTAAAAACATTTATTAGAGTCTATTCCCTATTCAAAAGTGAGAGTTTTAGCGCCAACATTAAACGAATCTTCCATAAGGTACTGATCGGATCAATAATCACTTATGCTTGCCCCACATAGAAATTTGCGGCAGACACCCCCCTCTTAATACTGCAAGGCACGGAAAACAAGGTTATCCCCTCAAATGGAAACTTTCGAAGGTTCACACCGGTCCGCGATTTGCAGACAGCTTTGAACGTTCCATATGTGTACCTCTGTAATACAGAATTGTGCTGGCAGCAAGCAGAAGCCATAAAGAAAAATGAGAATGAACATGTGCGCGGTATAGGAAAAGTCGAAGTCAGGCACAGAAAATATAAGAGGCTTAAACTTGGCAGCGGTCAAGCTAACGACCGTTCAAGTGACTAAGTTGCCGTTGTAGCATAAGATACGTAAGGTAGGCATGATCTGCTGTGCAAAGCCTGAACTAAAAGAGGACTTCTGTATAGTGAAAACGGAAGAGTTTCCACTGACTTGTTATATGTCCGGTATATACACTTGACGAAAGGCCGAGCATATTTATAGGAGACAAAACCATCTTCTCGTCAGAGAGGATGTTACGTAAGGAATAATAGTGAGAGGGTTCAGTTGAAAAAATAAAGATCTCTGGCGTGAGTCTCAAGGGGCTTGACGCCAAGACGAACTGATTGACGGTAAACAGCCAGTTGTAAATTAACTTTGACTTCGACTTTGACCCCGTGTATGTACCCATGAGTTTAGGACCACTCCAGTAAAATATTCCATCATCATGCCATATTTGATAGACATAAATACCATTATATGGAAATATATAAAAAAACAAGCAACCAATTATTCTTCATTGTGCAGAGAGAGAGAGATGAAGCCGGGATTGCTCTGTCAGTGTAGTGTTTGGCTACGAGCTAGGCTACTTGGATTCCTTTGCTGCAGGCTGATGTTTTTCCCTTGGCCAAGGCGTCCCTACTGGGTGTGGGGTTCACCCAAGCTCACATCCCATGCACACCGGGTCCTCTTTCCTCCAAGATAAAGCGTTACTGGCTGAAGCTAACGAATGTTTTCTCTCATCTGGAGCTTAATATTCGGAACTACACCGTGCGTCTTCATAGCTTTCACTTACTTATTCAAGGGAGCAGCTTGCATCTATTTATGAATACAAGGTGTGTCCCAAAAATCAAGAAATATATTTCTTTCCCCCGCTCCTACTGGTCGGAGCGCGCTGGAACCGCTTGGGTTAGGGGGAAGTCTTTAGCTTCACAGCGCGCCCAAGGTCAGTCTGGTCGAGAATCGGAGGCGTCAGTATCGCTGATTCAGTGCACCTGTGTTTTGTGACCACGTCACGGCGCACGATGACGGTTACATTCGAACAACGTTGGGCTGTCAAGTTCTGCACAATGCTCAACAAAAAAGCTGCCGAAACTCACGACCTGCTTAAGCAAGCCTACAGGGAGTCTGCTCTATCATATGTGCAAGTTGCAAGGGGG